ACAATGCCCAACCCCTGAGTTCAAGCCCCAGGACTGGCAAAAAAAAAAAGATTGCAGAATGCAGATGATCTGAGTTTGCCATGGCTTTTGGCAGCAATCCCAACTACTTGAAAGGCAGAGAGTTTTGCCACAACAAATGTACCAGGCATGCTACTGCTCACTTGTCCTCTCAAATATCTGGGAGACTGTAGATAAGAAGATCAAGATCTAAGGATAGCCTGGGAAAAAAATAAGAACCTGTCTAAAACAGGTTCTTAAGAAGCAAAAGTGGTAAAGCTCGAGTGGTAGATTGCCTGTCTAGCATACATAAGGTACTGAACTCAAAAACTCAAGAACTGCCAACAAAGACACAACAAGAAAAAATATTAGCGGAGTAGAGTGTACATGTATTAAGCAAACAGTGAGGTGTCTTTAGAATATTATGTAAAATCAAAATAAATATTTAATATAAAGTAAAATAAAATCTTAGAACGTTCTTCTTCAAAAAGGTATCAAGAAAGTTTTCCAATACGTATGTATGAAAATAATCAGAGTATGGGAGAAATCTCAACATCTCAATCTTGATGCTGCACTAAAATAATCAGAATTGGAAAGGATGAGTGGGGTTGGGAGAGATGGGGGGGAAATAGTTGACACATTGTACTTATTATGACAAATGAGGGAAACCATGGAGCCTAGGTTTCTTGGGGTCTAACTTACTTCACTTAATATGATTCTGTCCAAGTCTTTGCATTTCCTTATGAATGGGGCAATGTCTTTCCTTCTGATGGAAACATAGAAATCCATTGTGTATATATAACACATTTTCTTGATCCATTCTTCTAATGAGGGGCATTTGGGTTGATTCCATAGCTTAGCTATGATAAATAGTGCTTCAATAAACATGGTTGTGCTGTAGCTTTAATGTGGCCTTGTTTGTGGTCATTTGGGTAAATGGCCAGGGGTGGAATTGCTGGATCATAGGGAAGGTCTATGTGTAGTCTTTTGAGGAACCTCCATACTGCTTTCCAGAGTAGTTAAACAAGTTTACATTCCTACCAACTGGTAGTAGTATTTCCCCTCCAGCATCTGTTATCACTTGTTTTCTTGCTAATGACCATTCTAACTTGGGTGAGGTGGAATCTCAATGTAGTTTTGATTTGCATTTCTTTTATGGCCGGGAATGTTGAACATCAAGTGTCTATTGGCCATTCTTATTCCTCTTCAGAGAAGTCTCTTTTTAAGTCTTTAAGGCCACATATTAATGTTGTGGTTGTTTCTTTGAGGATTTGTTTTGGAGGAGTGGGTTAATTTTTTGAGCTCTAAGTATATTTTAGATATAAGACCCATGGTTTTCCTCGTTTGCAATAATTAGTATTAGGAGAGTCCTAGCAGAGGATCACATAGCTCAATAGCTGTGTACATAGACCATACAAAATGATGCTAATTGAAATGAACTCCAAAGCATGGAAACAGGAGGTTTCATATGTGTGTGTGTGTGTGTGTGTGTGTGTGTGTATTGTTTGCAATTATTTCTTTTCTCTTTCATTTTTTTTGTTCTGCTTTATTCCCTATGGCCACTGTGTTTGATTTTGGAATCCTTTGTTTTGTATGTAAGTTTATCTGGTTGGGGAAGGGAAAGTCGCAGAAATGGTGGAACAAAGAGTGAACCAATGCAACAGTAATGCTCATTTTACCAGTGTGGGGGGAGGGGAGCTGGGGTGAGGGAAAGCAAGGGAAAATGATGGAGGGGGTAACACTGTTGAAAAAGAATTGTACTCATTGCCTTACTTATGTAACTGTAACGGGTCTCATAACCCATACTCATAAATTGACACATTGAATTGAAATGTTTTTACACAACTACTCAAAGATAACAAATAGAAATAAATTGCCCTGTTGAATTGAAACTCTTCTGTACAACCATTTAAAGTTAGTAAAGGGTAAACAAAGGAGGAAGCTGCAATGCTTGATAAGAAATGTACGCATTAACCTGCCCATGTAATTGTAACCCCTCTGTACAGTGTGTTCACAAA